AGGGTCTTCGACACCCAGGACTCGATGCGGCTGCTCAGGGTGGGCACCTCCACGGAGATGGGCTCGGGAGTGTAGTCCTCCTCCTCCTCCTCCTCTTCCTCCGCTTCCTCCAGCATCCCGGGGACCAGGGTGGAGGTGGTGGAGGTGATGGAGGAGTTGAGCGGGCCCCTGCAGCTGCCGTCCAGCGAGCCCGTCTCGGTGCTCTGCTGGGAGGCCAGCTCCAGCCGGTCGTCCGCCCGGACCTCCTCCCGGTCGCCGGGTCCCGGGGCCTGGGGTCCGGGTCCAGGTCCGGGTCCGGGTCCGGAGGCCGGGGGGGCGGGCCTGGGCTGCGGGGCAGCGGAGCTGGGCGGGGCGCTGAGTGTGGCGCTGGGCGGGGCGATGGCCGCCGGGGCCTCTGTGTCTTTCTGGGCGACCGGGGGAGGATTGGGGCGACTGGGCTCGGCCTCGGCGGGCTCCGGGGCATCTGAAGACTCCATCATGCTCCTCCAGTTGGTCTCTGGAGGAAAAAACAAACGTTCAGCAGGCGCTGAAAAACCTGAAAAACCCTGCTAGCGACAAACGCGAACAAAGAGAGCGTCAAAAATAAAAAAAGCAGTGAGCTTCCTCACCATACTCCTTTTCGTTGACCTCGGAGATGGGCTCGGAGAAGATGGAGCAGAAGGAGATGGCCGAAGCCGCCGAGTGGTTGCGGGAGTGGCCCATGTGGTGCGGGACCTTCTTGTCGTTCTTCAGGGCCTCCTCCGCCTGCTCCTGCTCCAGAGCAGACACCATGTCCTTGTAGGCCTTCCTGGCCTCTTCCGTCAGAGACACCAGTCTGTTGAACAGTCCCTGGAAGAGGAGCAGAGTTGGAACGCCGTGAGCCCGCGTTTCAAAGGTCTCCACAGAACATTTTTATGGCTTTTCTCTCCAATAAGTCGTCTCTCTTTTCCTTCTTTATCCAGTTGTTCAGAGTAGGCTTGTCCCGATCCAGACTCCCAATCCAGTTTTGACCAAGCCTGATCCCACACGAGCATTAGCATTAGCATCTCCTAACCCACAGGTCTGTGTCCTAACCATTAAGTTGTTATCAGAGTAAATCCCTGTTCAACATGAGTCTGACAACTAAGTAAGTAGAATAAGTAACTTTAAACTTTAAAACATGCTCTGATATGCCGGGATCGGATCGGAGGAGCATATAGCTGGATCGGGACATCCCTAATTCAGAGTGAGGACAGCCAAAGTACTTTGACAGCAACCTAGAGAAAACAAAGCTTTGAATGGGAGAGCAGTGCTTCACCTCTGCTCCCGAATAGTTGAAAATGCCCACGACGCTGACAGGCACCAGCTTGTTGACGCAGCGTCCCAGAGCTTTTCGGCCCAGGGCGAACACAAAGGGGATCTCCTGCTCCCGGGCCATGGCGATCACGTTGTATAAAGCTTCATCTAAACCACCTGCAAAGGAGAGCAGCAGATGTGTTAGCAGAGTGTTCATTACTCTAACTTATTACCTCCATGTGGACACACGGTTACGCCTACCTTTGGCCTGGATCTTCTCACAGTTGGGAGAAATGATGACACACTTGATCTTGTGCATCTTCATGTGCTTGGTCACCTCCCGGAGGCCCATCACCAGGCGCCGTTTGGATTTGGCCTTGGTGGGATCCTTCTGGTAGACCCGCTCCTGGAAGCGAACCAGCTCCTGCAACAGCAGGGTCACGCTCTCGTCGATTTCCTTGCTCAGCACTTGGTTACAGTACCTGCAGGAGGACAAAGAAAACCCAACAAAGAATGTATCATTAGAAGCTAAAAGAATCAGAAGCCGAAAGGAGGCCACAAATAGTCACGTCAAAGACGTTCTTTGCTTGTGTCCTTAAAATTGTTGCAACGTTTTCTGAGTCTAATTAATCATTTTTGTTCTTTTTTTATCAATTTATGGCTTTTTTTTCTTCTTTTTGTTTTACAAGAACTTTAAACTATTTTTAAAACTTTTTTGTTGTTTCATACAAATATAAATGGACAATTTTACTGAATGCTTTCTATATTAATTTTGACTTTTTGAGAAAAGCAGGGTCATCCAATTATCTTTGTTTCCAATTAGCTTTGGAGTCTATGAATATCTTTTGGCAGGTCTGAGTGGCATGTTCGAGGAACAGGGGTCCTGGAGGTCAGAGCTAAGAGGAGGAGCTTGTCTACAGAGGCCTTTTGGAGGCTTTAAATGCGAAATCTGTTAGAGAAGGGTGGACCAGGACAATGGGCCTTCAGCGGAGGGTGCAGAGGCACAAAGCTGCATTTGTGCCACCCGGCATACTTTTTGCTGAGAGCGGACAATGTGCCATGCTCTGCGATTCTTTATTGTGCAGCTGCAACCTTAAAACCACCCGTTAGCTTTCAGAGGATGCTTCTCAGAGCCGGTGCTCTGCGATGTCTGAGTGGGACAAACATCTGCCTCATCCACCAGTTTTGTTGCCACGTTGTACATTTTTTCCAAACGTTCCAATGCCAGGGATTCCCACAAAACCTCCACGTAGGGTCAGAGGGGAGCACTCACTCTCTGAATCGTCTGCTGTGGATCTTGGTGATGGCGTTTGAGGCCATGGGACTGCCGATGCCGGAGCTGGCGGGCGAGCCCTGGGACACCGGGGTGATGCTGTACGGAGAGTTCTGACTGGCCGGGGACAGGGAGGCATCACTGGGCACGCTCAGACCGTTTTCTGTGGGGCAAAGAGACAGTTACAGGTTTAAAAAGAAAAAAATGTAAAAAATTAAATCAACAGGTACATTTTCACTTGTTTAAAAAAAACAAACATTTTATTTACCCTCCTGGGAGGCTGGCTCACGAGTCAGATCGTCTGTAAAATGCAGACACTCGTCACCCTGCTCTTCATGGCCTGCTGACTCCTGCTCTACAGTCGGCTTCCCTTTCTTCCCTTCCCGTTCCTTCAAAATTATCTAGAAACAAGCCAGAGACAAAGGCGCTTTAAAAAAATAATAATGATAAAAAAACAAAAGGAGGAGGACAAACTCGATCTCAACGTGTCCATTTTCTAAATGTAAAAATCCACCTTTTTTAGGGCCGTTGGCCGTTTGACTTTGGGGATCTCCCTCTCCTTCCCTCTCTTGATGCGGGGCGGCGTAGAGTCCAGCGCGTTTTGCGGGGCCGTGTACGGCTGCTGATGACCCCTCAACATGGACGGCAAGCTGGAGCCCGAGCAGTGGAACGGGGCGGTCGTTCCAACTGGAAAAAAAACACAAAGTGAGTTTGAACATGTTTGTATGCAACAACTGAATCCTCCCTTTACACGTCCACACAGACGAGTGATTGTTGCTTTGCATCATTAAAAAATAAAAATAAATACCTGTGAAAGACAGGGGCTTGGTGTTGGTGAGTTGCCTGGCCTTCATAGCCTGCTGCTGTTTCTCCAGAGCTGCCAGCATGTCTCCCAAATCCAGCTCCACAGAGGTTTTACTCTTTTTCCCCGCCGCTTTGGTGAACGCTTCCTGTTCAGGACACAGAAGGCAGAGAGAGAAAAAAAAAAAATCATACAGCAAACCGGGTAATTGCAATGAAGATCGGTTCAGGTGAGGAAATGGAGGCTGCTTCTGTACCTGTAGCTTCTTCTGCTCCATGCTTATTTCAGAGTACTCCTGTGCGGTGGCCAGGGCAGCAGCCAGAGCCTTCTTCCTCTGACTCTTTGCTCTCTTGGGAACAGAGGTAGTGATGGGAATGGGTGTCTGCACTATGTTGATTGGGGAGTTTTCTGGCAGGTTATCCAGCTAAAAAGCATGTGACACACACATCAGTGACTGAGAAGAAACATAAAGATTCATATGACCCCATGTAGAAACGCGATTCACAGTTCAAGCGAAAACACTGTCCGGGGTGTTGAGGAAATAACTAAAACATTACTGAAATGATGCGGCAGAGCAGCAAAATGAGGGAATCCTGGAGATGAAATCTGATTCATCTGCAGATGAAGAACCCCTTAACCTTCCAAAGAGCTCCATCTTCCTTCACAGACGCTATCAGTACATAAAGTGCTGCTAGAATGAATCTACCGACTAAAGGTGCTGACATTTACACTGATGGTTGAGACAGTGAGCAGAGGAAGCTACTTCAAAGCTTCTCCTAACTAAGGGCAAAGCGGTCACCAAGGCTTTCTGCCATCAGTCAAGAATAAAGCCATGATAACAGCTTAGTAATACAGTAGAACCTCTAATTACTATTGCCTAAACGTATGAATTTCCAACATCCGAAGTGAAATTTGATCAAATATTCCACTCCAAACACCCGAAGTAAATCTCAAAGCGCAGCGTGGGTCAGTTCACAGTTCCTAACGATCCTAACATGCATGTTAGGATCGTAATTAACAGTGCTTAATACCTTCCTTTTTCATATTTCCTTATCAAAACTAACATAGGAATATTTTAACATACGAAGTAGGTCCCGGAACAAATCAAAGTTGTATGTAAAGGTTGTACTGTACAGTCTTTAAAGGCAGGTGCTTTTCCATACCAGGTTTTTGGGCAGTTTAGGTTGTGCTTGTGTCTGAGGGGGGGCGGTTTCGGGTTTTCTGGTGCGCGGAACAGACCCTCCGTTGGCAAGATCCGGGAACTCATCTTCATCCTGACAAATAAAACACACACAAAAACCTTATTTCATCTCAATAACATTCTCTAAAAATAGTCAAGCAGTGTGTCTCTGAAAATTTCGTTCGAACAAAGTCTCCTCTCACCTCAAAGTAAAGGGGCTCGGGGGTGAGGCTGCTGCTAGTGACGGCCGCTGGCTGCAGCCTCTGTTCTGGCTGGGCGGGTGGCATACGACCCGGATAACCACTGTGGAAATCCTGAAAGATGGATCCAAGATGATTACCACACAGATCCGAGGTTTTTATTCTTTGTGTGTTTTCTCTGTGCGCAGTCGTGTGAGGAGAGCCTGATAGAAATAGCTTGCAAGCTAATTAACAGCTCTAAAAATAGCCCATGATACAGGTGATTGTGGACTGCACTCATGTGTCTATAATTACACAAAAAAATATTATAATTTGCATCTGTAATTTCAGATCCTGAATGCTAATCCCTTTTTACCGCCCCCCCACCCATTCCCATGCTTTTGTGCTGACGAAAGTGACGTTAATGTACAAAGACGGCACATCAGGCTCAGCGTGAGGTGCATGTTAAAAGCCTAAAGTGCCATTAAGTGTTCCTTTAAATAAAAATGGAAGCCTCTACACTCTAATCAGGTCTTTACTTAGTTCCAGAGGGGTTCACTTTACCTGAGAGAAGTTTCTCTGTTCAGGATTCCTCCTCTGATCTGCTCTGTGAGACTGCCCATTTCTGTCCCCCCAGGATTTGGTTGTAGCCTGAGATGCCACATTCACCCAGTTACCTACATATACACAGACATAGGTTTGTTGTAACGTAATAAGCAGGTCCATAAAAATGAAGCTGTTAAAACCAAGTTTAGAAATATACAAAAGAGGTCCTTTGACCCAAACTTACCTGTCATCACACCGGCCTCTACTCCCTAAAATCAGACAGAGAAAACACATTAAAATCTGAATTTAAAAAATTTACAGAACGCTCATAAAGGAAATCTTAAGACTGGAGGAGAGTGTGTTCTTGTTGTTCATTTTTGACACAGATAACTGCCTTCTTTAAAAATAAATAAATAGATAAAAAAAGCTCACCAATTTAGTTTTAATTCACATTTTACAAACAGCTTGTTTTTAAACAGATGATGACTTCTTAATTACTAAAATTCAACAAAAGACAAGTCATTCAAATGCCTTTCATAGCACACGCACACATAAAAATATCATGTGTTGGTGTGGGGGAGTTTATTAATACTTTACAGCATATGGCCCACCACTTTCCTGGTTATAATCAATATGTTTGGAGAGTCGTTTAACTGTATGTTTACAACTTGCTGTAAAGTACTTCAGATTCCACCATAAAACCAGACAGTAAATACCTGACATCGTACCAGAGGTGTGGCTGTGCTCTCCGCTGCCCGCTGGGCCCCCCCCGCCGCCTGGTTGTGTTTGGGGCTGCAGTAGCCGCTGTCGCTGTCGATGTCCGCCTCGCTGGCGCCCTGCTCGCTGTAGCTCTCAGCTGGCTGGCAGGCCCGTTTTCTCTTTGTCCGGTTTTTCCACAGCAGCGGACTGACCCGCTCGCCGGCGCACCAGCCGGACGCTTCACCCGGGGAGTCTGAGGACAAGGCGACGGGTACTCAGCCACCAAATAACAGCAGCTCAACGTGGAATAAAACTTTTATAAGGGCAACGAGTTTGTATTTATTCATTCGGACGTTCTATAGAGATACACTGGAGCCAGAGATGGCATCAAGTTAACTTCCTCTGGCTACGTCACTCCTGTTATGCAACATGTTAAAAATACAGCTGCTATGAAAACAAACTATTTACACAAGCTTATCAACTTTCCCAGGGAGAACAGAGTCATGATTGCTGGTATCATGACATGGCAAAGTTAACCTCTCCGACTGGAATCTCAGCATTCCAGCTCTTTCAAAGTCTGAGCACAAGCATCATCGACATCAACTTGCAGGACCAGACTCTTTGTGTCCCTCTTCTCTGACAGGAAAGACTCCATTTAGAAAAAAGAAAAAAGCAGCCAACCTTTAATGAGGCTGACACGTGTTCGGCTAACCCTCTTGTTCCACTCAAAGGGTTGAAGATCATCTCTGACATGTGCCACATTTGTCACACTCAGATTTTTTTAGGCTTATGGTTTTTTGTTTTATGCCAAATACATTATATAGCTTGCATGTTATGGTATCGGGTTTTTAATGTTCTTGGAATATTCTTACCAGTCTGCTGAGCCGCGTCCACCAGCATTACAGTCTTGGTCCGGCCGTCAGGTCCTAAGGTACACACCTCCTTCTGCACCGCCACGCTCCTGGTGGGCGGGCGACGCCCCCTCGGAGGTTGACACACCCCCAAATGTTGCTGTAAAAGAAAGGGGAAAAAAGGAGACATTAAAGCGATTAAAAATAAGCAAGAACCCATGAAAAAACTGCTGACCTTGCATTACAAACATACCTTTGGGAGAACATTGGATCGGACCATGCCTCTCCCCCTTTGACTGGCCATCCCATAGGCTGGGCCCAGAGGGAGGGGCCTTTCACTGACGTCTGCCGAGACGGGGTTGACCACTCCGGCCTGCACTGGGCCGGCATAGGTGCCAGGGAAGGGCTGGTAGAAGCCCATCACGGGTGGGCAGGGGGCTGGCATGATCTGGTAATAGGCGTAGTCATTCGAAACGGCCGGCTGAGGGGAGGACAAGATGGGGTACGCCAGGTAGGGCCCGCCGGGGGTGGGGTTAGGCTGCTGCCAGCGCAGCTCCCCCCCACTGTACACAGGATGCTGCCTGCAGAGGAAAAAAAGTGGCATGTTTGTTCTATCTTGTGCTTCCAATAAACAGATAAGGCATGGAGGCATTTTATAGAATTTATACTAAAGCATTCAGTTTTTACATGTCATTTAAAAGTAAACCATTTTAAGGCAAGTATGCAGTTATAAATAAGTTAGAAAATGCAAAAGGCAATAAAGAGGTCACTGTGCTGAGGTTTTTTTTTTTTTTAAGCAGTGGTCAATGTAAAGACAAAGCGATGTTTCTATAACAAATGAGCCTGAGATTTGAGATTCTTTACAGATGAGGGCTAAGATCTGTAAAGCAGCCGTGCTGTTTATAGCTGCTGGTTTGTTAGGGGTTTGCACATAGTACGTGCAATCCAGATAAGGATCCATCTGACATTTTCACAGCCAGCTTACTATAGTGGGCATTTCCTTGCATTCAAATAGTGGGGAAGGAAACAAAGGAGCGGATGTGTGCAGGATACTGCGCATCGCTGTGGACAAAGGAAGAGCCACTGGAAACATGGGCCATGTTGTGGTTCGAAGTAAACTCCCAAACTGGGGAGGTTTCCATTCAGAAGTGAGCAATCTGATTATTCGCACTCAATATTATGTTAATGTTATTATCTGATTACAATGCTTTTCTGTTTTGTTTTTTTCTTTCCTCAAACTAAGATTTGGAACACGATGTTCTAAGGTTAGAATCAGAGTGCAGTTAATGAGTTTCATTGGAAATAGAAGTTGGGAATAGTTCAGGTGAAGGCTGATTGTTTCTACGCAGTTCAAAAGCCAGCTTTAATTATTTAGACAGACAATGACCAAGTCCAGCAGCGTAAAAACTGAAACAGTCCATTAAGAACCCCAAACGGCTGAGGCCCTTAGACCATATTCAGATGGCCGGCCTCAGGCTTTCCCCCCAAAAAAATCCCCCTCCACTGCGACTGCACCTGTTGGGTTGGTTCTCCTGGACGAAAGGGTAACAGGTGATGAGGTAGCTGGGAATGGGTGTGGTTTCCACGCCTCCGCTGCCGCCGCCTCCTCCTCCGGCCTCACCGGAGAGACTCATGCTGACAAGGGATCCTTCCAGACCTTTCCTCTGTGGGATGAACGGTTCCACTTCAGGTGAGAGCTTCACATCCTGAGGAGAGACAAACGGTGAGCAAAGACACCCCGCGTGTGTTAGGAAGACGGGTATTTGTTCTTAAGTGCTGCCTACAGTCAGCACATCCCCTATTGATCAAAATTAAGCTTTGATTTTGCATTTGCCACATTAACTTGTTTTTCAGTAGACAAACTTATTGATTAAATCATGTTTATACACCATCAGAGTTAAAGACCGTCCACTTAGTTTACAGGGTTCAGCATGTACAATAAACCATTAAAAAAAGAAATGAGGGCCTTAATACTGGAACATTTTACAACCAGATCAATGATGACGCATTACTTTGTTCAAGTTCATAACGTATAAAAAAGGCTTTGGTCATTCTGAGCGCCAGTTTCAATTAAAAAAATTTGAATGAAAAAAGTTTGCAATAATTATAGCAAAGATAATAAAAAAAATAAGACAATTCTACACACACTGAAGGCTCAAAGCCACACAAAGGCCCAGCAACGCTATGAAAAAGATATCTGATTATTAACTAGAAAGATGAAAGATTTTAGTTCTGAGCCAGTTTGCACATACGATTTGAAAATCAAGAAGGCAACGAATCTCTCGTAATGAAAAAAATCTGTCAAATGTTCCTCACAAATGCCTGATCTTTTTCAAATTAGTAAATGGAGAGAGAGAAGGATTCGACCATCATACAGAAATAAAATCTGCAGCTCTGTTCAAAGAGCCTTAAAGAATAAAGTAAGAAACAGACTTTTAACTGAAACAATAAGCAAAAACTTCAGTTTGTTTGGACAAAGGGGGGGCGGGTAATAAAACTCTTGTAATTATGACGCTTTTATAGATGTGCAAGTTTATGGTGCGAACACACTGAGCTGATAATCAAGCAACTATACAGCAGTGAATGAGATGCAGCCACAGGAAAAACTAAACAAATACGGTACAGAAGGGGGGAAGTTGCAGCAGAAAAATAAAAGGGTGTTCTTTGATCTTAGTGTGTCACATGCAAGTTTTACAATCAAGGCATGAAGCCAAATGAGGGTAAGATCAACAATGACGGAAACTAAAACATGCCCGAAACACCTGATCAATAATTACCTCAGCCAAAGAGGATATGTGACAGATAAGCTGTCTGTGTTTTGATCACTCCAAATCTGTTGATGCAAATTTGTTATAAAGTTGTGAGTTGGCACAAACATTTATTTCAGTTTAGGTATGATCAATATCCACGCTCTGGGAGGATGTGCACTCTGAGAAGCGGCCAACGGAAGTAATATTCAAAACAAGGCATTGCTGTAGAATATAAAGTGTAAAACAAAAAAGATACCAAGAAAAAAAAGACTTAACTTCAAAGTCATACCGATATGGCTATGGGTCTATTACAGATGTATTACAAGTGTTAACCACACTGAGAGAGTTAAATGTTGGTCAAATTAAACCAAAATAATTTCCTAAAAGGGAAAAAATAGCTCATGGAGTCAGAAAAAATGCCTTTCTTTACTAACATTTTCTTAAATAAAAAAAAAATCAATATTCATACCAAAACATAATCTAAATACCCCCGTCACACCTCCAAGTGGCCCTCGCTTTACTTCGTGGTACCGCTCGTCTCATTCAAACTGGCTTTTTTTGGCAAAGGATGACAAAAGGTGACAGGGTTCAGCACACAAAGCCCCCCCCCCCTCTCTGAAACTTCGGTATGTATGAATAGAGTATCAGTGCGACCAGTGGATGTCACACAGATAGCTATTGTCTTGAACTGCTGCCGTTTGTGGCTGGTTCTCTCTGTTTCCCTGAGGGGATCTTCAGATCCCATCCTTTTCTAGTCAAGATAAACCAAGCCTGCTCTGCCTGTTCAATCAGGAATCAAACGACCAGCCCCCAAAGTGGGATTTGTGAAACTTGCAAATGTCGACAGAGCGACAGCATTCTCCAAGCTCAGACCGATACGGCTGCAGGGTTTGGTTTAGCCGAAGCTGGCCTGGGAAAGTAGAGCTAAAGTGAGGCTGATAGGGTGTCGTTACAGGATTAAGTGTGAGAGGATAAAGCAGGGACAGCACGACAGCATAAGCTAATTATCCACCGAGCCATGACAAGGATGCCCCACGTTCCCTCTGACAGAATCTTTCAATCTAAACAGTCAAACCATCACAATCTAACCGTTTGCGGAAAAATGTGGAGAAAGTCCGAGCTTGTTGGGGGATTCATCTCTCCAATGGACCATCTGTATCATTCGGGGTCTCTGTGCTGGTGAGATGAGGATCGAGAATAGTGGGGATTGTGATGGAGACGGTGAGGTCAGACCCAGATGTGCATCCGTTGGGGATGACAGAGCTGAGTCGACTGGGTTTCACTGATCTCACAAGCCTCCGTTTGTGCAAGATTTTATTCTCACACCAGTTGTTCTTCACACCCGTTCAAACACTACCAAACGGTACCAATTTCATCCTGAAACAGGGCAGGCGTTTAGTTGACAGAAGCATGTGCAAGAAAGCTTTAAGAGTTGTTACATTAATGAAAACAGAGCCAATTGCCTGCCGTGGTACTTTCTATAAAAGAAAGTAGTTGTCACTTACATGCTCTCTCCTAAAAGTAGCAGAGAGACCTGGTGCTCTCTGGGGCTCCAGGCAGCTTGGTGAAGTCATTGTACTGTTATCCTTAAGTAGTCCTCAGATCCAGATTAAAATTAAAGTCTGACTGGGCTTTCTCAGTATTTCATCAGAAACCTCAGAATACAGTAACACTTCTGAATAAAAAAATCAAAGCATAGGTTTCTACCTTCACAACAGATCCTTAGTCAGTTTTTATTTTAAGACCCTTGTGCTCATTAACTTTATTTTGATAACTCAGATTCAAAAAGTTTTACTAGACCTCAGTCATCATTTATTGAATAAAAAAATATGCAATATAAAAAAAAAGTAGAAACATCACAACACTGAATGACAAGTGTCAAATTAGACTTGTTTTTAACCTCCCTACAGTCAGAAAAAAACAACTGTTCCGTACGCTAAATAACTGTTTAACTAAAGTTGCAGGTTTTGGAAGAAACCTAAGATCACGAGCACGCACCCAGACAGCCTTTTCTGCATAGCTGACAGCAGGAATGACACACATGCAGCAGAACAGGACATTCCTCTGCTGACGGTCCACCAAACGTCTCCGCCTCTCCTCACAACAACACTCATGCATGCATTCCTTTCTGACTGAAACCCTTGATAATTCTTGCTATAAAGATAGAGACAGAAAAGAATGCCAAAAAACACCGACTGCTCCAGTTAAACTGGTACTGAATAAATTGATAATCGCCGTAGAACGATAGCAGAGATAGTTTAGGTTAGCTTTAGCTAGCTAGGCTTAGCCAGGCTAATGTTTAACCACCAATAAATGAAACGCACCTCAAAACTGTTGTGAATAGTTCTATGACACTTTAAAATACAAACAAAAAACAAACAAACGCTGGGGTAAAATAAAATAACGATGATATGGTCAGTCTTTCAGGTCGCAATGCAGTATCCGTTATTCCCGTTTTACTGTTAGCTTATTAGCAGAACTGCTTATCAGGCTTTCGCCTATGATAAACACGTAACACCATCGAGGTGTTAGCATGGATTTATAGTCAAATAGTTACCAAAAAGTGACGCTGATATCTGTATTTACTGCATTACAGAGACTGCTTTCCTGACCACGACGAATAAGTCACATTGTCGGCCTTAACATTTTTAAACAAACGCTGTCCCATTTCCACGGGCTAAAATGTTAGCCGCATCCAAGCAAAAAAAAAAAAAAAAAAACTGTGGATTTTACAACAAAATGTACCTTAATGTCACCAGCATCCATGTCAGTCACCGGCGCCGCCGCAGATTGTCATTGACCACAATGTGGACGTCAGGACACAGGCCCCTTTAGTTTCTTCATTGTAAATAATACTAGTAAAGGCTTAGGGCGACTCACACTAACTGGACTCCACCGTTAACTGCCCTGGCCGCTGCGTCAGCTAGCTGCTCTCTCCCCGAACAGCTCCGCGAAACGCGAACTGCTGTCGCTCAGCAAATGGGAGTCACCTGGAACGGAAGCCGGCGAGGCCCAAAACAGTGGGCCGGCTGGAAAAGACACTACGTCATAAAACCACGCTCAAAACAACATTCACATCAAGGACAAATCACGATTTCTAACTACCCGACTGACGCCAAAATATCCAGCCACCACTGAACAGGACCCTTTAAAGTACCAAGTAGATCTATACTTATTTTGTTTGACATACATTCTGAAATTATAGATGAATTTGTAAATTTCTTGAGCAAGAATCTTGTCACTGGAACATTTCCTTTAAAGTTTTGGTTCAACCATTCAAATACAAAAAAATCAATCTAAAAAATGTGATGCCCAGGAATTAAATGTGACCTATGAAATGTCTATGAGCAACTACTTCTGTAAAAATACATAAATAACAACAACAAAAAAATATCTATAAAGCCTATTCATATATTCAGATCATGCAATCCCATACTAATTTCTTACATAAATGTATGTGTAAATGACTAATTCTAGGAAAATGCTAACATCACCGCTGACTAAATATGAACATTAGGCATTTATAAAATTGGCCTTGATGTCTTTTAGATGAGGTGTACTGGAAAAAAAAAACAACACTTAAAAGTTTTTGGGACATTTTCTTTCCTCCAATTTTAAAAGGACATGGAAATTTAAGGATAAAATGTTCCTAAAATTAACACTGATATTGCTCAAAAACACAGATAATAATGTTCATACTTGTATCCGACTTAGAATTGCATTTCAGCCCATCCGAAGCCTTGTGACTAGTCAAAGGCAGCGCTTTCAGTGCTGAGACATCTGTTTATTACCAACAGTATACATTAAAATACTGCGATCACGCTTTCATACACGTTTGGACTTTTTTTTTCCTTTAACAGTAGAAGCTTTTGTCTGGTGCACATTGAAGAATTTGCCAATCAACATGAAAAACAAAAACAGGTGTCAGTGATTTCTTCTCATCAGGACAGGGGGGGAAAAAAAACAAAAAAAAACGACTGAACATGTTCTCGGGGTTCTCTGAGTCTTCTCGAAACCGATGCATTCTTAAAACGCGCGTTGTGCATTTTCGTCGGGCCAGATATAGTTGAAGAAGCACAGTATACTTCATGGATGTCTTCAAACATGCCGTTTCCTTTGTCTCTTGATTTGTAATGCCATCATGTGAGCTTGCTGACAATGGCTTGGTTCAAGGAGTTCAACTGATTTGTCCATTTGTCTAATGCAGTGTAGCGAGCTCCTCCTCTTTTCTGGTAGTCCAGTTCTAGAAGTTGGTTGACCTGGTCGATGCGTCCGTGGATTGTGCTGCGAGAACAAACAAATGCTGGATTTTAGAAAAATAACTTGCATCTGGAACATTCTGAGTCAAACCAATTCCCATCATTTAGCAGCTGGGGAACATTTGCATAACAATGTAAAGACGGAGGAACATTACAGTAAGGGCTTTTGCTTCCTGCTTCCTTTGTCATTTACGTAACACCACAGATAGAACACAACAGATCACTATCCATCAAGAAAATTGTTCAGTTCATAATGCTCAACTACCTTCCACAGCAAAGGATTCAAACTATGGGGAACTAGTGCTATTTAGAGGAAAGGGAGTGTTTTTCTTCGTCAACTTCCCAAAAGTAACGAGACACACATACTTGTCCAAGATGCACTGCACAAGCAAACTCTCCACATCGCACACGTCAATGTTCAGCTCCTGAAACACACAAAAGATTTTCAGGAGGCACAAAATTGTGTTTTCATGGCATAAAAACTGTAAACTCAAAAACACACACCGAGAGAGATGATTAATCTTGTTCAATCTAAATGATAAACGTGTAGTTATAACGTGGCAATTTCCCCGAAACTGGATTTTGTTTACGAGTGTGTATTAAGCAATCCATCAAAACTGGTTTTAGGAGTTGTGCTCTTACTGCAAAATTTATATTGAACAACAAGGTCAAGTGCAGTCCAACACACTCTACAGCACAAAAAGGAACCATAAAGAGTTCAAAGTCAAAGAATTACTGAGCAGCAAATGAGAAAATCACATTTTATCTAAAAATTATTTGCAAAAAATGATCATACAAAAAGAATAATGAGTTTAAATAAGGTCTGCTTTATATAATAAAGTTTCCATTTTAAAATTCATTAGAATAAATCATTACTTAAAAAGATACCAAAGGCCACAAGTCTCTATTAACTGTTTAATTAAATTTGATAAATTTTTGGTAGCATAGACTCACCTTAGAAATGAAAGGGATGTGTATTCTTGTGTATGGTTTGATGAGTTTGATAAGCACTTGAGTTCTAATGTTGCGTAGAAGCTCTGAAACAGAAGATCACATTATCAAACCGTGATGCTAAAAAATAAAAAGACACATGTGGACTGCAGTCACGTGCACCACTCACCCTCTATGTGCTCTCTGATGAACGGGTCGTCCATTATGTTACTGTGATTTGTTTTCAAGATTTTCTCAAATTCGGTGATGTCATTGTTCTGGTAGGCGCTGGAAGGGAAAACAGGCCCGGTTGTTTTAGTGTGTACATTGTGTGTCCGCGACCCCCACAAAACCCTCTCATCCTGATAGCGGTCCAACACGCCCCAAAATATTACACTTTTATCTAAACACTATTCTTGAGGCAGCTTTGGGTGTGTACTCATAGTGTTTTGTTTATGTGATAAAAAAAACTATAGAATATTTAGAGGGAGCCGGAGCAATCGCAGACACTAAATACACTAAAAAAGGGAGTGGACCCGTAGAAGAAGTAATGCATGACTTCATACAAAATATCTGGATTTAGTTCCTCCATTTTGGCAACTACAGTAACATTGTGACCCTTATTATGTATTCCGTTTCAATTTTTGGTAAGAATTAATGATATGTGGCACCCACAGATGGACGAGAAGAGCTCACATGTGTTTCAAGAAGTGTGCAAGCAGAAAAGCAGATGTTTACCACATCTGGACACAACAGACAACAGCGTAGTAACTGTATGCTCCCCAACATAAGCCACAAAGCACAATAAACTAGGAACAACAAGCCACTTCTCCTTAAAAACGCTTTGCTCTCAAACGGAAATGTGCCTCATCATCACAAATGGAGAAACTTTATGAATCTCTAGGAACAAATGAAAAGACGATTTCTTCAGGGCAAATATTAAAAAACTACAAATATGGCCCACACCGTGTGTCTCAGCATGGTTTTACTGAATTTAACGGGAGCCAACACAATCAAGAGCAACGCAAAGCAAAATGCTTTTAAAATATTCAAAGTGTCAACGTCTCTGACAAAACCAGGCCGGGAACTCGCCACCGCGCAGACAGGTCTGCTGCACGCACAATCTACAAACCGTGCACAACACTTTCACACAGATGGACACTTACCTTACTAAGTTGGTCATTGCTAGGATCTCAGGGTCGTTTTTGTATGGTTTGGCCTTTGGAGAAAAGATGCAAGGTTACTCTGAATTATTGCAAATTATCCTTTAAAAAAAAAAAAAAAAAGTAAATCGTCTCACTTTTGTCATTTTAGAATATTTACTGCTTTATTATGAATAAAAACTGCTTTAGAAAATAATGCATTTGTTGACAGTTTGAAAGGCATCCCGTCATTTCCGGGTTCGGGGTTGTGTTTAAGCCAGTAAAATGTGCTCTCTTACCTCTTGAGAGTCAAAGGGGTTAATTCCTGACTTCATCAGCATGTTTGCTAAGACCAGGTACTTCAGGCATGTCGTCCTTCTGGGGCTCCCAGATTCATCGTAGTTTTTAAAGGCCTCAAAGAAGTCTGTGTGAGCCTTCTCGAACTCGCCTTCTCTCAGGTGCATCTTTCCCCCACACTCTGGAAGGACCAAACAAGCACAAATTACAAAAAAATACTCATTGCAAACAGTTTTGCCGGCACAGGCTGAGACAGGCACATCTGAGCCAAACTAATATTCTAATGACCACACACACCTCTGATAACTCCCATTATGAGAGGGTGAGGAATGGCAGACTTAATGTGGAGTGACTGCTCGTACAGCGCTTTCAACTTCTTGTTGTTTTTCTGTGCGGTGTACATTTGGATTTCTAGAGCGTAGATCTCCAGCAGCTGTGTGCCTTTCTTCAGGTCATCCTCACCGTCATCTGTCTGCAGTTGATCAAAGACAAGAAAATTAATCTATGCAACACAGTCGGTTACATAAACGTTATCCACACCAAAAACAAACTGGATTTATCACCTGACACGACTGATGAAGCTGCCTTAGGATCTTTTGCAGTTTTCCATATTCTTCTCTCTCCAAGTACAGCTTCCCCAACTAACAGATACGAACCACATAAAGTAAATATCAGAGAGCCGCTCGGTCATTTATTATGCTCAACTGCCTAAAACCCAAGAATCTTTGATTACCTTTGTATTGGTTTTAAACCACAATCTGTCGTTTTTTGCATCTTTCAAAGCCTCCAGTGTGGTTTCATAGAACTCTTGCAGCAGATCCATCTGTTAACACAAAAGGTCATTTTCAAATAAAGGTTGATTTTATAACATGCAGGAACTTACTCGGCAAGAAAACGGGTTTTACTTCTCAACTTTCCTCAAATACCTGTTTGGAGGTAGATATGTAGTCCAGAATGGAGTTGATGGACTTCTCCGAGTAGTTCCTGGTGACAGCACTTCTGATATATGTGAGGAGCTGTTTGTACCTATTCATCATCTCTGGGAAATTGGTCTATGGGGTTGATAAAAAAAAAGAAATCAAAATCAATAAGTTACATGGAAGAACATAGGGAAAAAAATGTGTTACGTTTGTTACATGGCATACCAGCTTAAAGTTGATTTTGATCATTTGTTTAAGCGCCTTGAATCCCCATTCACCTTTTTCTCCCTCTAGTTCCAATACCTGAATATGAAATCAGAAGAGGTCAGTAAATATTGCTCTTACGAGTAGAAAAAATATGTAAAAGCATTCATAACATATCGGTTTCATGGAGAGCAACTCCACCTTCTGGAAACTGCTGAGTGCTGCTTTGGGATCGTCCTCCTTCAAAGCTTTGGAGTTGTAGTACTGGTTCTCCAGGTCCACGTTTGGCTCTGAATTACTGTCCTCTGAGTATTCCTAAGTTAAATAACACAAGGATGTCAATATTCAACTTATAACACACAGGTTGCATGTTAGCTAGAAACTCTGCGAGCTAACTTAAAGTTAAACATGACAGATGTAATGTTTTTCTTTCTGCAGGCATGAGTCATAAGCTAATGTTAAGTTAGCCCACGCCTTGGCTCGAAATCTTACTCAGCGAGAGCAATGCAAAATCAAACAAAGTAAAAGCCATGCACACAAAGCAAAACACCGCTACACTTTACTGTTAAGATTAGAAAAACTGTAAAATGGTCCATAGCCACCATCTTTAGCCGGCTATGAAGCTAATGTTAGCTAAATTTCCGTTGACAGCTTAGATATTAGCAAACAAGCTAAGTAAGGAGCTAACGTTAGCTAGCTCTTGCTATCGTCTCTGAGCTGTTAAGGTTCAGCGGACAAACGGCTAAAATTCATAAGAAAATAAATTCACATCATTTGTAAATACCAGGTCGTAATCTTCTTCATCGTCGCACATAAAATCATCTTCCATGTCAGACATCTTGACGGAATTCCTTGTCCTTATTCAGAGGCAGTGAGTGGCTCGGCCTGTGCTGTGTTTTGCAGTGGTGTGGTGGTGTGTCGGTACGGCGGGCGCGCAGGGACAAATTTCCCCCCATAGATGGCGCTCTTGGATAGTGGTTGATACACCACAGAAAGGTCCGTGAACCCGCAGCAACAAGACATGATTAATACATTTCTTCTGTCTTTACAATGTATTGTAAAATGTATCAAACACGCATTTAATGCTAGTTGTAAATTACCTACACGAGATACAATCTTAATTACCATTATTGACAATAGCAGATTTAAATATAAATGAGATCAATTAAAGTCTAACAATCTTCCGAAACATTTCCAAAATGAATCATGATGCAGTCATGCAAGGGCTTATATGGCTCGGCTTTCCATCCTATTGTGCAGATGTCTTACAATTTTTAAGTCTTACTCTTGTTCTTAGTTGTGGTGTTTCTAATTTTTTAAAATAAAGTTTAAATGTGTTAGTGACAGCCATTCATTGAAGCTATGCTTTCTGAAAAATGTACATCTGTACTTTATTGAGTCATGCTGCCATAGAAGACCTCTGGAAACCATCTGCTTGCAAAATTAAAAATAATCACTACTTAAATGTTCAATTGGAAATGTACAACTCTGTACTTGTTGACACGTCTTGGAAAAATGTCTCTCGGTGATCCCCACTGCTGAAAATACCCCAAAATCTTTAGTTGTGTGAGTCAGATTTTAGTTCGCCTGGTGATTTCGTGACTTCTCGGCAGCATTGGCTGCCACACAGAGAAACTGTTGGCATCATCCCATCCACAATCTCTCTGCCTCACTCTGGACTTCATTCGACTTTGGACCCTGCGAGGGATTTTATTATCAAAGACTCACAATCCCTGTTTTAAAACTTTAGACTATCAGCTCCAGTCTAATCAGCATATGTGCCATAAGTCTATGTGAAAAAAAACAGATGAGTGGAGGTGAAAAACTGAATTCCATGTGGTTGGCTTGGCCATAATATTTACGGTATCCAGACACAAATCACTGACACCAACAGGAGGGGGATGAATGTATTCACAGACTGAGTTATAACTCTAAGCTAAAAGAACGTCTGAAGTCAAATTATTTGTGCCAGCGTGTGTGTATAAATGTGTCATATCTTTCACGTTTACCCTGACAATGTTATTGCTTTTTTATTCTTGCACAATGTCATGCAGTAGTTGTCTACCAGCTTCTCGTGGAAACCGGAATCACGCAAAACCACAGACGTGAAGTTTTTGTCAGCGTGTGTTTATTCTCACGACACGAGACAGTCTGCGCACAACCGACTGCAACAGGCCTGAGATGGATAATGCAAGCAGCAGCGGTGTGTGTTGAGTCTGTCAGCGTTTCGCTAATTGTACGGTTTGGCATCGACAATAAAGACATAAAAGAACCGACGCCAGAAAATCTGTGGTTCTGACACACGGGTGCTAATAAGCCATGATTTGTCATCACACAACACTCACACATCCTCCTGACATTCTGTGGCACCGGGCTTATTCAAATGCCTGAAATGTGCCTTTATCCCTGCTGAAATATCTACACAGTGAAAACCACAAGAGCGTGCACATCCCAGCTGCAGCAGACAGAGTGTACAGTATTTGAAAGAGAAGGAGGGAATCTCTCAGCACAAGCTTTCCAACACCTACTTACCAGAGAGCCTTGTAGTGGAAAATACCTCTATTTACCACACAAACCTACAGACCAAATGCGAGACTGAGAATCTAATAATTCAGCACTTTTTTCAGATACATTTTCTAGAATATAAACTGGTTTTGCCAATAATGCATTTGTTGACAGTTTGAAAGGCATCCCATCATTTCCGGGTTTGGGGTTGTGTTTAAGCCAGTAAAATGTGCTCTCTTACCTCTTGAAAGCTCCCAGATTCATCATAGTTTTTAAAGGCCTCAAAGAAGTCTGTGTGAGCCTTCTCAAACTCGCCTTCTCTCAGATGCATCTTTCCCCCACACTCTAGAAGGACCAAACAAGCACAAATGACAAAAAAATACTCATTGCAAACAGTTTTGATGGCCCACGCTGTGACAGGCACATCTCAGTCAAACTGCAGTTCTAATGACCGCACACATCTCTGATAACTCCCATTATGAGAGGGTTAGGAATGGCAGACTTAATGTGGAGTGACTGCTCGTACAACGCTTTCAACTTTTTGTTGTTTTTCACCATCATCTGTCTTCAGTTGATTAAAGACAAGAAAATGTTTCTAAGACATTCGGTTAGATGAACATATCAACACCAAAAACAAACTGGATTTATCACCTGATCTGACTGATGAAGCTGCCTTAGCATCAGCTTCCCCCAACTAACAGATATGAACCACAAAATGTAAATATCAGAGAGCCGCTTGGTCATTTATTATGCTCAACTGCCAAAAACCCAAGAATCTGTGACTATGTATTGGTTTTAAACTACATCTGGGAAAGATCCATAAACGTATCCTCCATATCTTTTAAGTCATTCATTCAAATAGTTTTGTAGTATTATATTTTGGCATGTGTGTATACGATGAGGTTTATAATCTCTAAGTGCATTTCTGAGCTTGATGTCTGCTTACACATCTTAATCAAACTGCTTTCTAACAAGCTTCAAATCTGGCCTGGCTTAACTCAGCCTTAGGCCGTCATATCTGCTCCGCTTCTCAACTTATGCAATATGCGTGACTTGCCAGTTTGTTTTCCTCTTTTTTATTTTTTTTTTCGTGGCTGCTTTCGTTTTAACAAGGTACACTGAAGCATGTCTCAATTTTATACAACTAACTCCACGTTGTGGGGCTGTTTTTCCAGATGAAATCCTACTTCCAAGGGGCTGTAACAGCCTCTGCAGCCGTCCACACGCACTCCTCCTGCATCACACGCGAGCACGCTCTGGTACACTGTGTGCTCTGAATGGGGTCTGAGAGTTTCAGTCTGAGGGGAGTTTGGGATATCTGGGCGTGTGTGTGTGTGTGTGTGTGTCATAAATGTATGGAGGCTGAGAAATCCTATCCACTAAACAATTTTGCTTTCATTTGGGTAGGATTATGACACAAAAAGGCACTCAGGACTTTTTAGTGACCACAGTGGAGAGATCACAGTAACTTATAACAAGGCTTGACATGCCTGATCTTCTCTGCAGCTATCTGAGTGGAGGTTTCAGGGTTACAACTCAACATGTTAAATGCATTCTTTTAACTTCGTGATGAAGGTAACATAAATTGTTCTCGGTAGTAAATGTCAAATTATTATTGGGGGGGAAAATGTCGAACATTTTTCAGCATTTCAGCGTGCACATACGCTACAGTTTCCCACTGAAACAACAATGACGACAAGTGTTAATTACACTGTTGTTAAGTTACACTGGTTTCAGCTCACATGCAAATAAATACAACCAGCCGAGGTTTATCTAGCCGTGGTCTAACAGTCCTAAGCCTTCTAAGCCTACCGTCTTCTTTTCAGATCAGAATATAACAGAAGTTGTTCAAAAGCCTGTTCAGATTTGAGGTTAGGTCCTTGATGCAAATTGTGAGATAAAGTTATACAAATTACTAAATACCTCTCTCCCCTTCCTATGTATATTTATCCTTTTTAGCAACGGCACTGGTTTTAGAAATACAAACCAGGAGATTGAGCACGTAAAGCCATCTCCACATACTTCAAATGCCCTGGTTGACTCGTATTGGCATTGATGGTTTACAGCTTTAATTTTTTTTACTATGACTAAGGAGGTCTGACTCTTTGCATGCTTTCACATGCAGGGTTAAATCTCTGGGCAGTCCAGATGCTCATTTATATAGACTCAGCTCACGACATCAAACTTATCCTCCATTGTCATGGTGGTGCACTAACAGAGTGATTTATTTGCATTTGCTGACAGCCGAGCACAGATGAGGAACGACTGTGAACGTATTTTAAAGTAATAAAACACCCTCTTACAAATAACTCAGTCATAGTTATGTGTCTTAAGCTCGCTTTATCTGTAAATATGCACACAGCATACCTATTTTTGGAGGTGCTGAACACGTCTGCTAACTTTGAGTTATTGTTGTCTTCTGTGTTCCTTTCCCCTTCGGAGATTTTACCATGTAGACTGATTTACAGTCCATTGTTTGACAAAATGACAGCAGGCTTTGCAAAAGTGAAAGAAATATTGCAGGTGCAATGGAGTTCTTTGCTGTGGAAACATCTCAGGGATTTAAGAAAAAACAGCCGCTTGAACATTTATCCTGCACACCTTATTGTGGTTTGTACAACACTGTTTGTAGAACAGTTGTTGGCATAGGTTCTTCTCTGAGAAATAAAGCTGAAAACATTATAAATATGTGCAAACATATGAATTCCAGTATTTGAGGACACCTCTCATTGGTCTTGCCTCTATGTGTTTTAATGTAATATTTTCGGTTGTTTACTACTCACTGTGGCCTGAATGCAGTAAATACTAAAAGTTTTATTTGAAGTGATATGGGTTTAATCAGTGTCTCTTCGTAAGATGATAGATAATTTATGAACAACTGCTTGTACGTGATCCACTGCTTAATGAGTAACACAGTTTAACATAACTGGATTGAATTAAAACCTGTTTGTTTCCACAGCAATGCTGTAAACTTGCCTATGTTCTGAAAAATTACATCAATCCTCAAATGAACAGAGCGATAAAAAATAATATTTACGAGACTTGTATCATTGGGCACCATCAACACTTCACATCGGAATAATACTGAAACATGAATCTGACCGATAGATGTGTCACAGAGACCTCTCATTCCTGTGGCTAAATTATATCATGCAAGCTTCTCTGATCCGATTAAAGTCTTCACAGCAATCCATGAGGATCCACTTTGTTCCTCCTACTTCTGCACTGACTGTGAATCGAGACTGGGGATCTACTACAGAGGAGGCATGGGAGATTTCCCACTCGAAAATAGCAAGTTTCCATTACACGGAACCAGAATAGTTGCTGAGAGATAACTTTATCTCTGCCCTGAGTGAATTAAATGGAACCAAATTGCATTTCTAGGAAAGGCATCTAAGTAGGAAGAATACATCTTGATCCTGGAGGGGATTAATGGCAATTTGATGGCTCAAGCCTTGTTTATGTTCCGACA